TATATATACATATGTAAGTATGTATGTATATCTACATATCTAAAATGTATCATATACAGATTGGGATTGTGTCAGGTGGCACTTCCCTGTGGCCAAAACTTCTGGTCCATGCTAGGTTACAGAGACGGTACAGCTGTGTGCTTGAATCCCTAGGAACCCGTGTGCCACACAAGCATGCGTGTGTATCGGGTTTGTACGCCAAGCTATCATATCCAGGATTCGCTCTACACCGATCTGAGAGTGGACAGACAAGTGTATGGTTAGACGGCTTGAGCAGTAATTAGTAGCCCGATAGTTTAGTGTTAAAAAAAATGGGAAACCTGTCTCAATTGCACAGTGGACCGGAATTCGAAGTTTCTGGGCGAGGCGTATAGAATAAATAAATTAGATAATAAGTCACCCTTCCGAGTATTGTATACCTCCCTCCCTGTGTGACAGGTGTCAAATAGGGGTTAACCCGGATTTTTATCAGGGATACAACATAATTTAAACTCGAATATTTGGCATTCCTCTGCGATTATTTCACCCAATTTCTAATCACTACTAGATCCGTCTGCCTATCTGAATCACAATCACAGAGGGCAGATTAATCTGACCACTCTTCTATATTCCAAACCACCATTTAATCATTTGTCATGCGCAAATAAATCAGGACGGTTCGTGTCTATATGGTCTCCATCCCATAATTTAAAATCCTTTTTACCATTCGCAAATAAATCAGAACGGTTCGTGTCTATATGGTCTCCATCCCATAATTTGGTGTAATCAAGACGTCCAGATCTCCGATGGCTGTCACAATAAGGTATGCATGCCTTTCGAGAAAGCCAAGGGCTAGTAGAATTGGATATTCCACATTATCTATCACACTACTGTAAGGACAAGGTCAATCACTACTAATTTTTATATAGTAAGATCATCCCGAAACCTTGACTCCGAGTTCAAAGCAACCGGACCGGATCACCCTTCTCGGGACAGTCCCCATCACATCCTTCGGTGCAATTAAGGCATATAAATTAGTATTGGTTCCAATTTAGTAATGGTTTTAAATTAGTAATGGTTTTCACCTCAGCGAATGTACATCCGCCCTCCTGGGAGATCGCAACGGCCTGATAGGATTTGTGTATCCCACGTTACATCAGAGTTCCAGACGAATTCTAAATACTACTCAAATTGGGTATGAAAAGAAATTGCAAATCTATACTAAGTTGTATACGGGCAATGTTTCCAATGCCAATCCAAATTCCTTACTGCGTCCAAAGAAACCGGATCACCCGTCGCTGAATCGTCTCCAGCACCTCAACCGGTACAATCAGGACATCGGGTCCTCGGACAGTCTTCACATTAGGCGCACACGCTTGCACGCTTCCGGGGGACTGCAAGTGTGTCCCATACGCCACAGCAGCACCCGTAACACACCCACGGGATAGTTGGCTGGCTTCAGACCGGTTATCCGCTTCACACACATACACACTCTCTTCGTGTATGGAAGATGATGCATCGCTGGGTCTTCGCGTGGCCTTGGTGTTTGATCTGGGCTCATCACTTGCCCTACCTGTTTGAGAGGAAAAGGGTGAGGCACTGGCCTTGTCCACTACCATCGGTGCACCCGTTTCGCGCGGTTTCGGACTCGAATGCACCTCAACATCACTCTGTTTCTGCTTCTGCATCCACAGACCCGTGCACCGTCCCGCAGACGTCGTTCTAACTAAAGTACGCGATCGCCAAGGTGTTAACGCGTTTCTAACCTTGCAATGAGGACACGTACATAGCGAACGTGTTCTCGGGTCCATTCTCCTTCCAAACACTGCTGACTCCTTCCATCCATCCCCAGTAGTGCAGCCCACCGAGTTTCTGCGAGCCTTTATCCCAATACCAGCACCCACTCCCCTATCTACACCCACTCCCCTATCTACACCCACATTCACTCGCGGATTAAGCGGACCCTCAACGGTCGCCTTGTCTTTGCCTTTGGCATCTTGGCCAGGATCGGTTCGGCTGCGATTCAGCGTACTGGCCGCGGCACTCATCCCTTGGCGTCCCTCGGTATAAAGACTCGCTAGTAAAGTAGCCATATCTACAGCCCCATACTCTCCCAAGGCATCACCCGGTTGTGCACTGTCCCCTTTCACCTTCGTATCGTCCCGTACAGTGCTGCGTTGAGCCGTCTCTCCCTCACCCCCTCCAACTGCCTCGTCATCACGCTTACACACATCCGATGCCGTTGTGTGAGCAGGGGACACCATATCGTCGGGCTCTGTTAACATTGCGGCTATGATATCGTACCTGCTTACAGTACTATCCCAGCCAGGTCTCATTCCGTCCGCAAGTAGGGCGTGTCTGACTGAGCAGAACGCGCCTGCCGAACCGGTACATGAGATGGAGTGCCGCCTCGCATGGGTCTTTGTGTGTGTGAGGGGGGCCTTAGGGAGGGCTACAGGCGGACACTGACACCGTCTTTCACCTCCCCTTTGAGCGGTACGATGAGTGTAGCCATCCACATCCACACTCGCACCCACACCTACAATGCCCTGCAGAACTGGCGAGTCCGTCTTATCTTCTCCCGACGCAGTTGCGGCACCTTCCTGTCCCATTAGCAGGTGCAAAAGAGTTGCATGTGAGTCGCTTGCCGGTGGTGGATGCACCCCGCCTGTGGAGGCTAGGGCCTGTCCTGTCCTCGTCGGCGGTGGACCATTTTTGCCCTTCTGCACCTCTGCTACAGAAGTACACACTCGCGCTGTGGCGAGATTGTCCCGATCCGCCTCCTCGCCAGGCGGTGAGATGCAAACATCTGTTCGGTCTCGCTCTGAGTCCCTATTTGCCCAGTTATAGCCCTTTCCAGTCATCTGCGAGAGGGTTTTAGGACTCCTCCGCGTGTCCATGCCCTCTAGTAGGGCCCAATGCGAGTCCGCGTATGTGGTAGGTAATAAGTCTTCGAACTGCAGGTGCACACTACCCAATATATGGGCCGAGATGGTCAGCACATCGTCGTCACCGTCGAGAGTGGTCACGGTATCACGGCCAACGGCTGCCGTCTTGTTGCCACTCCAAACGGTGCTTGTACTATAGTCATCTGTGGTAATCCCATCCGTGACTGCTATTTGGTCACCCATTCTAGTAGGTATCTCTGCCGAGTCTGCAGTAACTTCATTCGTGACTGTTATTTTCCCACCCATTATAGTAGGCTCTCCCGAGTCTATAGTAAAGCTATCTGAGACTGTTGTTGTGTCAATTGGATTGAGCACAGACTCTACAGCGTCAGCAGAAGCCTTATCTGCGTGCGCCGTATCTTCGCCGCCACACTCTTGTAGTTGGGGGTTGATCTTCTCTGCCTGATCCTGAGTTTTGGTCATGTCTGGCTTATCCATCGTCTCTTGGTCCCGTTTTTGGGTCAAATCTGCCCTTTTTATATCTTCGTGGCCCCGTTTTTGGCTCAAGATTGGCCCATTTAACTCTTTTTCGTCCCCTCTTTCTGTCAGGTTTGCCTTGTATATTCCTTCATGACCCTGAGTTTGGGCCCAGCGTTTACTGTTCATCTCTTCCTGATCATGTTTTTGGGCTGATTCTGTCGTGCCCATATCTTCCTGACCATGTTTCCGTCGCCCGTTTGCCGCACCAGGGCATTCACCCACTGTACTGGCTTGGACCGGCGAACCATTGCTGCTACCATTCGAGTCCGTATTACCCTCAAAACTGCCAGTGACCAACCCAGTCAGCTGCGTGGAGATGGCTTTAAACAGCCCACGGAGTCTCTTAATAGACCTCACTGAGGATTTGGCGGACTCCGCTTGAAACTTCGCACTCGGCCGCACAGCCCCCGTACTATGCCTACGACGGTAGGTAGAGCTCTCCGGTACAGGTGTGATCTCCTCGGCATCCCCAGTACCTTCTGATACACCAGCCGGAGACTCGGGCGTGTGCACATATACTCTTGTGCCTACCTCCGTATGCCTACCGCCAGTAGGTCTCTCCCTGTACGTATGTCCACTCCACCCCTCAGACCTCGTCCGCACAGTTGGGTAGCCCCCCGGAAGGCGCGCCTCCCCCTCGGGAATAGGCTGGCCTGGCTGGTCAGACATGCTTTCAGTCCTAGTGTGCGCTCTGTTTAACATCAGCTTCGCCTTTTCCCACACATATGGACACGTGCCTGTGCTGCGCCTTCGCTTGTCCTTCGGTGTCGCAGGCATAGAGCGTGTGGTAGCGGCAGCAGCCGAGGGGTTAGAGCCTGTCTGCATGCCGTGTTTAGTTAAAGTGTGGGACAGACCCAATAGGGACCTTCTCCGAGACCCTTTGACTTGGTTGTCGTCATAGTAGACCCTGTCGCTCAGCGCGCGTTCTTGAAGATGTTTCTTACAGCGAGCGGTTAATTTGTCGTTGTGTCGAGTGTATATCTGTGTGTAGGCTTTAAGGCGCCGTTGAGCCCCAAGGATCTGTATCATACAGAGAAAGCAGTACATTGACGTAAGATTCAGGGAGACTACGAACAAAAGTCCCTATGTGTATCTATATC